TCACCAATAGAAACTTCCTTATGCAGTACATGGCCATATTTGTCCTGTGGAGTTGTGTGGATGAATTGAATTCACAACACCTAAAGCATAGTACTTACCATGTACTGGGCACCTGTTTTTTAATTAATGATAGAAGAATATGACAAAGCATATCAGATACCTTGGAAATTTTGCTAAATTTAAGATGAAAAGATGGATAATTGCCAAACCCACTGGGTGCTCATGAAACAGTATAATGAGAGAGGTGTCCCAAGTCCCCCCAAAGCTGCCCCCCCACACAGGTGTTTCACTAATATTAACTCTCCTTAAGGTCCAAGTTCTTGGTTAGCATGACCTCACTTGGCAAAGCCACATGAGAAGTTGCTTTCACAGACATAAATTCTTCGGCTCATGGGCTGATGCCTTTTAGTGGATAGATTTTTTTTTTTGTCTTGCATTTATATTCTCTTAATTATTTGTTATTTTTATGTTTTACATGCACTTTTACAATCCACTTCAAACTCTACATCATTTGAGAACAGAGAAGAGAATAAACTATATTCAAAACCATCACATGTACACATACATGTAACTTGAGTTGCAGAGGACTTTTGGGAGTCCAGGACTAGGGAATAGTTAATGTCAGTGAAGCGCCTGTTTTCCCAGGGAGTTTCCTTGGTCTTTGGAACAGGATTTCTTCCACTCTTGCATTATGAGCACCTTCCAAGTTGGGCAAGGAATCTGCCTTCTCACCTTAATTTAAGTTTAGCAAAATGTCCATTTTATCAGCTATGCTTTGCCATTTTTTAGCATCAATTTATAACACTAATGTATTTTAAGATACATTCCTCGTGATCTCAAATGTCAAAGCTTATTCTCTACCTGCTACGTAAGGGTGATCATATATTTGAGTCTCAACAGGCCAGTTCCCTTGGGCACAGAGCTCCGGTCATCAGGAGAAGGTCAGCAACACTCCACTGTTTCTATTGTGAAGGTTTAATCATCTTTTTACACTATTTCTTTACTTTTTGCAATGATGGCCAAATGCTATGGGAAAGTGTGAGATTGGTGCAAAAGCTAAATTGCTCGAGGCGTGTGGTCATGAGCAGGTTGGGAGGGACTTGGGTAGAGAGGCAGCCAACTTTTAGGCAGCCAGCTTTCTGACACCTGACCACTGTTCATTCTTTCTTAGAAGTTTTTTCTGAGCCAGCCTTCCCTACTGAGGTTGGCCCCACCCACTATGGGAATTCTGCTGCTGTGAGAGAGGAAGGTACTCTCTTCCTAGCTCCTGTGTCTTCAGCTGATGTCACATATTATCTGGAATTGTCTACACCTATGTTTAGAAGGTCAAACTGGAAACTGGTCCTAGAAATATGTTTTAGAGAGGATGGCAGAGATACAATGATTTTTTTGTATATCCCTAAGGGAAGGCGCCTTTGAGAATGATACCTTGAACCATGCTTATTTGCAGTAAGACGATGTATGCCCTAATCCCTAAGATAGCTGCACGTCATAGAAACCAAGTGATTACTCTTTGGACAAGCATGCCGTTAATGGCCTTAGAATTTTCTTAGGAACTGGTGCAATACACACATGCAGGTACTGAGAGTGTGGCTGGGAAGGGATGCTCTTTGCTGCATCCCATTAAAAACAATGCGTTGGATGCCTACATCCTGGTCCTGCTTGAATGGTGTCCTGAGGGCCTCTGTTGTCTGCCCCCTGGTGCAGCTAGAATATAAGGTGTGTGGGTAGTTCTGTCCTGGGGGTGTATGAGTCTCAGAACTCACAGTGAAGTTAGCTGCAGTACTGGGAATGAGGGACAGATTTCTGAAAGTATTTTTACCATGAGACTTTTCAACAGACATTTTTCAATCCTGTGAACCACGAAGAATTCCTTTTTCTTCAGTAAAACAGTGTCTATACGTAGATGCCTCTGAAAATTTTCTTTCTTCTGTAGCAGTTGCTTCTTTTCTTATTTACATCTTGCAAACCTCTGGCTCTGTGACGCCTGCTGTTCTGGGCTAGGACATCCATGGGGCCAGAATGGCAGTGGTGAATGAATGCTGCCTCGAAGTAGGCACAGCTGGGCCAAGGAGCTGTGGGTGCTTACTCCAAAGCCACATCTGCTTTGCCTTCCTGCAGTGGGCATCTTGCATGCATTTGTGAAGCATCCTCTGGAGGGCACAGGGAGTTTAAGCTGCCTGATTTCTATCTCAGTTCTGCCTTGCTCCCTGTACACTTGGTTCTCACCTTGGTGGGAAGCAGAGACAGCGGCAGCCCCCGCCCCACTGGTCCTTATGGGGACTGCTCACTTCTAGGCAGGGCGCATGTTTGTTACACAACTCTTTCCCCTGGGAACTAACAAGGAGAAATAAAAATGAGAACAAAACACTCCAGGCCTACTTAATCAGTATTTGTTGAAGGCCAGCTTTGGGGCCAGGGTATCAGTGACCCCATAGAGTGACTTTTCTGCTTTGGGGTTAGTTTCTTGAAAGTCATTTTAAAAACCCATGTCGAATGATCAAAACCCTGGCTGCATTCTGTCTGGCTCAGGAGCTAAAACTAAACACATTGAGAAAATGGTTATTTGTGTATTTTTTTATTGCCTAAAAAATATAAATTTTGCAAATAGGTCTAGTGGTCTTGTTTTTCCGTTTTCTATGATCAAAGCTGAGATGGGAAAACTTTAAAAAATAAATTGTGTTTAGTTGTGGTAAAACGAAAGCCAAGTAAGTTACTAAACACTTCCCCTATTTTAAATATTTAGGTGTAGTTTTGGAAGGCACTAGCAATTTTACCCAGATTTGATGAAGGATCTGTTTTCATGCCTCTGAAAAACTGCCATCCATGCATAGAGTTCTTGTCCTCTGTGACAGAAATTAAACTACAGAGAATTAAAAGAAAATGAGGGCTGAGGAGATAGCTCAGTGTCATAAGTGCCTGCCAGGCAAGTGCATGGTCCCAAGTTTGATCCCCAGTACTGGGGGGAAAAAAAAAAAGCACACCCTCTATTTGTAAATTCTGTGGGTAGTGCTTTGTTTATAACAAGTGCTGGATAAAAGTTGCCTAAATGAGTGAGTCAGTGGCTGTAGGTAGACTTCAGGGTTGTCACCACCAACCCCTGGCTAAATCATTTTCCTGAAGGACTGAGTCCCTCTCACTTCTCTTTCCTAGTAACTTCCCTTCTTGAGACAAGTGCACTAAAATGAACACACCCTGCTCAACTCATGGAATTTTCCAAAGGAATAGGAAATCAAGACACCAGTAAAGATACTCTGTGTTTTGATATTAGGATGGGTCTTTTAGAGATAAATATTTGAAGCCCACAAAAATAGCATCAAGAGGAAGTAATGCTGGTGTAGGCAGCATGGGAAACATCTGGGATCAACTCCATGGGAACTCTGTGTTAGGGCTTTTGAGTCTCCTTTGTGTCATTTTGGCTGTAGGGATGCACAGAGCTGGGCCTGAGCCCTGAGCAACCCTGGTTTTGCCCTGCATCCGCAGCTAACACTGCCTTCTCCTGGCTGTCAGCTCTGAGATCCCTGCACAGGACTCAGGCTCATTCACAAGTGAGCCTGCACATCAGCTTCTCAGACTGTGCCTGCCAACTTTCCATCTCTTTGAGAAAATACCGAGAAATCAACTGAAAGGAGGAAAGGTTTATTTGGGCTCAGGGTTTTCAGTCTGTGGTCCTTGGCCCCATGGTTCCCAGGCCCATGGTGAGGCGGTGTTGTGGCCGAGAGGCATGGTAGGGCCAGGGGACATGAAGAGAACAAGAGGAGCGAGAGCAGCAAGAGCTAGGGACAAAACATGACCTTTCAAGGCACTCCCTGAGTGCCTTCAACTAAACTACCTCCTACACCCTTCAACTAAGCCACCCCCTCAATGTCCACCACCTCCCAGGAGCCCATGGGACTAGGACCCATGGATGGAGACATAACTGGACTATGAACACCGCTCTGTGATGATGCCTGGGGCTCACTGTCTGTGTGCTGCCCATCTCTGTGTTCACTGCCTATGGGCTAATAGGCTAATCCTCTCAAAAGACATCGACATAGTCCTTTGTTTCATGGCTAAGTTAGAGTTTTTAGTTCTCTGTTAAGTCTGATCTCCCCATGTGCTGGAGTTTTCAAATCTCACCTATAAAGAAGTCTTCCTTTTTCCTTGTCAGAAAGCCATGCCTGTCTTTATGTGATGCCTTACTAAGCAAGGGCAGCCTTGGGGTCTTTCCTGAGGCCAGCGCACTTGCTGCCTCCCCGTCTGTCCCCACCTTGTCTTCACCCAACTGACACTGTGACACTTCAAACTGCCCATGCTACGATTGGCTGCAAGGGTGTGAAATCCAGCACTGGGATTTCATCCTGAGGTCTCAAGGGAAGCCCAGGGTAAACCTTCCAGAGGCACAGTGTTACTGGTTCTACCTCCAGGAACCTGTTTCCTGTCACCCCGGGAGAGTACAGCTGCTCCGTGTTCCCTGTAGGCGGTCTTAGGCAGCAGCCAGTTTCCTGTGTCAGCTTCAGGAAGCACTGGTTTGTCTCTGAAGCCAGGCGGCATCTCTGTCTCCTCTGTGCTAGATAGATAGCAGCTGAAACAACCCAACTTTATTTCTAAATCCAAATTAAGGTGCCAGCTGCTAGTGGCTGGTGAGGGCTCTCTGCATGGTTTGCAGAGGGCTGTGCCGCAGGACACAGAGAGGCCAGGGCCCTGCTTGCATCCCCTACTAAGAAAATAAGTAATGCCACCCCAGGGTCTACCCGCCAGACCTCATCTAACCAGATTCATCCTGAAAGCCCCTACCTCAAAAAACTGTTATACTAGGGGCTCAAATTTTATCTATGACTTTTGGGGAGACACAGATGGTCAGCCCATACTGGTGTTACACCTGCCTTCCTATACCTCCCCCTCTTTTCTGCCTGGGTTTCTTCCACCCACCTTTCCTGGGCACTCTGGGTATCACACAACCCCAGAACCACACTCTTTGGCTGAAGTAATAATGAAGAATTTGCTTCCTTCTCTGCCAGGAACTCCCCTGATGAATGCAGCATGGCCAAAGGCGGGAAGATGGTGGGCAGCCCAGACACGGTGGGCATGAACTACAGCAGTTACATGGAGGAGAAGCACATGCCACCTCCCAACATGACCACCAACGAGCGCCGGGTGATCGTGCCTGCAGGTCAGAGCTTCTCTATGGCCTCACTCCTCCCACGCGTGGCCTGGTCACACCTCAGGTGTTCCCAGTGGTGCCTGTGAGCAGAAGGCAGCAGGAGTTTGTCCACACAGGGTGACACAGTCATGTTCACTGGTTCTCCCCAAAATGAGCTAGTAAGAACCAGCATACATACACACATGTGCATGAGCCTTATGTTCTCTGAACATGTGGGAGGACAGGGTGTGGCTCCCAGCCCTTTATGTGGACAGACAAAAATAAAGATACATGGAGAGAGAATGTTCAGCCCACTTATGTCTGCATGCTTACACATACATGCACACAGACATGTTTGTATGTGAGTGTATGACCGTGAGCCGTGATCTTTCCGTGGAGGAATTGCTCTTCCTCTGAGACTATTTGGTGATAAGCAGCCCATCTCTTGTGAAGTGCTAGCTCTGATAGGTGGTGACCTTATTTGCTCTGTCCATCTTGTTGTCCAGCAAAATAAGAAGTTGGCAGTTGTGTATTCTTCCCTCACATTGTCTTAAAAAAAAACAAGAGTTGCACTTGTCACTGGCCGACTCTACAGATTATAATAATCAGGATCATTGTTTCTCCTGGAAGTCATTCAAATTCAGTCCAAAACATAGCTCTCTCGAGTTTGAGGATAAAGCCCAGAACGTATTTATTTAGCAAAACTAAAGGTAATAGAAAGAATGTCTTACAAGCACACATCTCAAAGGACGTGTCCTACCTAAAACTATGCCCACAACAAAAATGGCCCTTCTGCCATGTTAGGCAGCATTAGCCACACCATCTCATGCAATCTGAGGAACCAGGTCCCCTGATCCCACTGCCCCGCAGAGGAGTGTGAACCTCAGGGAAGCTGAGTGGACACCAAAGGCGTGTCTCTTGCCACCCTTGTTCCCACCAGCCCTGGCTGGGCTTTGGTATCAGCAAGCCCTGGGTCCATTCATCTGTAGCCCTGTGCTCATCGGAGCTCTGTGCACATGTGGCTTCCTGAACCAAAGGTGCTGTCCTCCTGTTCCTGCTGGAGTCCCCCCACCCCACTTGGTGACACACAGTCCTGCCTATCTTAGCTGCCTTTATTTCTCTCCTGCTTGCCTGGCTTATGTCCCATGCTAATGCAGAAGTTTCCCTGTGCTCTTGCCTCTGCTGGGACGTAGCCCTCTGGGGCCACGCCTCCAGGGCCTAACGTATAGGCACTCAGTAAACACTCATAGGGTACTACGTCCGACCACTGGGTGACCCCACATTAGGGACTGCACAGTCAGAGAGAGGAAGTGTCACGGGTGACACACGTACAACTGTTTCCCCTCATTCCTGAACTCCCAGAATCGTCTCTATGAAATGCTGATCTCCTCCCATGGTCACTTGCAAAGGTCACCCAGGGGGTCCCTCTTGCTTTCTGCATGGGGGAGTGCAGAGTGCAGAGCATGGGGCAAAACATCGCACTGGGTTTCTCCTTGGGTATACTACCAGTGTGGCTTTCAGCCGACTGCCTGGTTGGCTGGAACTGTTTGGCTGCAGGGAGTATGAGAGGAATCATCGAGTTCAGACTTAGCCTGATTAGCATGGGGTGCAGTTGCTGTTGGGTGGAAAAAGTTGGAAACACAATGACCCAGGTGCCCTTTCCTGATCAGTGGCACCTAAATCAGATTTGGAGTGTGTGGGTGAGCAGGGCAGGGACAAGCAGTGGCAGGGTAAGGAGACTGCTGTTCCAGATGCTGGCTGGACATGATGGGGAAAGCAGAGACACGGGTTTGGTGTGGTGCCATGGGAAGAGCGTGGCTTTTGCTCCTGGTAGATCAGCAGGGGAGGTGATGCCCGATGGGGAGCTGGCCTTTCTATGATGTCATCCACCTGCTTGGATGTCATCGATGTATAGTTTTCAATGGGACTAACTTGATTCTTTCTACATAAGTACTCAGAAAAGATGAGAGATGTTAATGTTGGACTGAGGCCAAGGGCCAATTGAGCCAAGTTGGAGCAGGAGCATTTCTTGCACATAGTAGGTGCTCAGTGAATGTTTGTTGGCCGCATTGTTTGTTGGCTGCATGGACCAGTGCTGCCTGGTTCCTGTTGGGTTTGGTGTGAGCCTGCTTCTGTCTCTGCCTCTGCCTCTGCCTCTGGAGCCAAGTCCTCTTGCTATTCTTCCCACCTCTGGTTGCTTCATGCTGGGGCTGGCAGTTATTCTGTTAACCGTGTGTGTAAGAGAGTGCACTGTGGCTGATTTTGCAAGTTGTGAATCTTGCAGTTATTGGTCAAGCTTCAGGTATGTCTGTACACACACACACACACACACACACACACACACACACACACACACAGATAAAATGTACATGTGGTATTCCATTGCACAATGTGGCCAGTCTCCAACATGGCCACACTGCGGCAGGACCCCAGGCAGTGCCCACAGCTGTCACGCTTGTCCTCTTGGCTCTGACGCTAGGCGTGTTTTGGGTTTGAAGTGCTCTGTGTGCACACAATTCTGCAGCTCTGGGTCTGGCCCAGTTTGCATAGTCCCTACTCCTTAGACACATTGCTTGGCACCCAAAATGGCAATTGCAGAGAGGATCAACAAGAAAGCCTCATTAAACCACTGCTATTCCTTAGGCACTGATCAGAGTCCGTGAGCTCCACGCTGACTTCTGGTCCTGGACATAAGAATGGTCAAGATATACAGCTGTGAAGTTGGGTTGTGACCTGAATGGGACAGAACAAAGCCTGGCTGTGTTGTCTGCATTTGCATGGGCGCCTAGACCTGGAGCTCAGCTCTGAGAAGCGATTCTCTTTGGTGTTGAGGATCATTCTTTAGTTAACTGAAGAGCCACAGAAGAACCCTGGCACTTTCCTCATGAAGCAGTGTGGCATCATTTGATATGTTTGTACTGCTCCCCATTGCGGAATGAATTTAAGAAAGTCACACAAATATACACAAAGGCCAAAGGTAGAAATAACGTTAAAATAAATTAGTAAAAACCATGGGCTAACATAGGAGTGTAACAGAGTATGAAACCAGGAGAGAGGTAAACATTACGCACATCTTAAAGCTTGCAAAATACTGACCAAATGCAGCAGGACCTTGATTTGATGTGGGATTTTGTCCCAAGAAACCTATTTAGAACTGAAGCTACCATAAGTGAGAAATATATTTAATGCACCTCACCTCCTGACCATGCCTGCATAGCACAGCCCATGTAGTTAGACATGCCGAGAGCACCCGTCCTAGCCACAGCTGGGTAAAATCATCTTCCCACAAAACTACTTTATTCTGAAGTCATGATGGTCTCATGTAATTTATCAAACACTGCACTGAAAGTGAAAAGCAGAGTGATTGTTCAGGTGCCCAGCCTAAGCCAAGCACAATCCCTCAGTTCTACATTTGACACTAGTGCTGAGCTACATGGGGACCAATGGATCATGCCCAGCCCCAGGCCCATGTCTGTTTCCTTGTGCTTCTCCCAGTAGTCCAAGATGATTCTGTGTAACCAAAGAGGAGTCTCATTTCTGGGTATTTCCAGCTCAGCTTCATCAAGGCTGTGGACTCAGATCTGTGTCTGGGGAGAGTGGACCATCATGTCCTCAATGTTGTGTGTGTTGTTACTCTCGTGGACATCTGCCATCAAGCATGGTGTCCTCTGGATGGGTGTGGGGTGCCTCCTCTCTCCCCAGTGCTCCTGGGGCAGCTGCTGCCTTTGAGATCTTGGCAGTGCCCACAGGCTGTGCTAACTAGGTGGGTTGGTAAAGAGGAAGACCCAGTCCAGTCACTTCGCTTCAAAGTTGCAAAATGCTGACCAATTGCAATAGGGCCTGTGATTTTAGCCACGTATAGCATTTTGAAAGATTTTTGTATTCCTATGTTTTATTCCCTAAAATAGGTACTGCTTCTCAAACATCCCTTTTTAAACCTTTTCACTTTTATTTTTAAAACAACTCACTTTGAGCACAAGCCATTGCTAGACTCAGCAGTTTCAAAGCGGTGTAGTCAATTTCATCTCATCCTTCCTTCTTTCCTTCATTCACAGAGCACTTAGTAGGCTCCAGTACTGCCAGTAAAATAGTTTGTGAGCTTTACAGTCCCCTCTTCTTGACCTCCAAAAAATCTTGGGTCAGAGACCTCTCAGATGGTATCTTCTTCAGCCCCCCCCCGTGCTTGGTCACTTCTACTCCATCTGTAACATGTCCCTTAGCACCCATTACTCTTCTGTTAGCCACTGAGGCAGAGACCAAAGCCAGCCAGATGAGATCAGACCCACAGAGTGGGAGACAGACAGGAGCGGGTGTGAGTGAAGCTCAGTGAGCGACTCGCATAAATGTGAGACATCAGCAAAATGAAGACTAGAGGGGTCCCCAGTATTGTCTGCTTCCTAAGAGTCTCTACCACTCTGCTCCACCCCATGCTGTTCCTGGGCAAACTGTCCTGTGCTGTTCCCAGATGCCCTTCCTCTGTTCCACAGTCTGCTCATTCTCCACAACATCTCTGAGAGTCACCCTGTCCACTAAGCCCTGCTTCACCCTCCAGCAATGAATCTGTGGCATCTTTCCAGTTTCTTATTACTACACTCTACTTGGTTGCATCTTATATTCTCTAGCACATCCTGTATCGGCCTAAAGATTGCCTCACCATCTGACTCCACAAAGCCTGCGAGATGTGAGAGTCCTTAGGCACTAAAACCCTGGCACAGGTGGGAATTCAGAATCAGTATTAAAGCAGTTAAATGAGCAAATGGAAAACCAGGAAAATATGAAGAGTGAAGTCTAGTCAGGCATGGTGGCACCCACCTATAATCCCAGCACTTGGGAAGCTGAAGCAAAAGGATTGTGGGTATGGGACCAGTCTAAGTTACATAGCAAGACACTATTAGGAGGGTGGAGAGGTGGGGAGAGGGATAGGGAGAGGGAGAGGGAGAAGGAGAGGGAGAAGGAGAGACTGGAAAGGGGGAAAAAAGGAAGAAAAGGGAAGAGGAGGGGAGGGGAGGAAAGGGGAAAGGAGGGGAAGG